AGTCTTATTTTTAGACTATCCTTAGGGCTAAATTCTTGATAATTTAAAAGTCAGACATCTCTACGGAGGCTGTGTCCTCTCAAGTCTTATGGTTATCAGGGCTCTGCTTTTTGGAGCACTTCACCACCTTGAACAATAGCTTGCTTGTCTGCCATAGGATTTGGAAAGGGAAGGCTGGAAGGACATCAGGATTTCAGGTATTAGTGCTGTTTTTAGGAAGATCCTGGATAGGGGATGAGATCGTTTTTCAGGGAACAGTAGCACGTGGAGAAGGAGCAAAAAGGAGGCATGATGACTGTTAGAAAATCGCCCACAGTAGCATGGAATTAGATTACGTTCATGGACTTTGGCCTAGCATTGTCTGGGTAGGTCCTAGAATAGGCAGGAGGTGGGAGCTTGCAGGCCACTGTGGAAAATAGAGGAGGCTGATAATCTTCTCCCCTGACAGCTGGGCAGGCTTTGAACCTTGAGGGAGTGACACAGAAATGCAGGATGCTGGGAGATGACTGCAGCTGCCACGTGTGGGTGGCCGACTGCAGAGGTGACTTCCCAGGTACAAGATCCTCCACAGAGTGAGCCCGGTTTGTGCCACCGGGGCTGTGCTCTAGGATGCCCCATTTCCCCTGATTCACTGCTGTTATCTTTATCCTAGAATGCTAACCAGCACAAATACCGAATACAGTTACATTTTTCCATTAAAAACAAACGTTTCTTAGTGCAAAAAAAAAAAAACTTAAAAAAAATTTTTTTTAGAAGGTCTAATTTTCTAAGTTACCCAGGTCGGCCTCAAACTTTCCAACTTTCTATCCTTCTGCCTCAGCCTCCATAGTGCTGGGATTACAAGAGTACATCACTACTGACCAGCTGCAAGAAGTACTTACCAGTTGAAAAACAAGCTTTTAAATATCAAAACAATCCCCAAATTTAAAAACCCAATGACTTCATCTCCCCTACAGAACTACTACAAAAAGTTTTAAATGGGGGTGAGACAAGATACCCTGCCTGGCTTTTTCCTGGACATAAGAATGTGTCCTTTCTTTCTTAAGCTATTATCAGCAGTGCCACAGTACTACGGTCACGTTTGTTACACTTCACACAACCATGTCCTGAATCAGCTTCTTCTTCCACCTTAGCTCTAGAATCCCACCTCCAAAGGAGCCGAGACAGACTGAGCTGGTCCAGCCTCACCAAGTGTATCTGCCACACTAATTAAAAAGCATCTTTGAATAAACATATGTGCAAGTGACAGAATTTTCCAACCCAAGAAGGCATTCAAATGAGCATGGTGACTGGGTCAGAAAGCCCACTGTGGAGGGGAAAAAAAAAGAAATAAAAAGGTGCACCTCTCTGCAATGCAAGCCCTCAGCACCTAGCCCTGGCCTTTTCCTTTGGGTGTATGCAAATAATTTCAAAATTTTATATCAAAGTTGCTAGGATTCAAAACTTCTGGGGAAAGCTGAAGGTAATGAATACTCTCTGGAAAGGATGCATTGCAACCAGAAATATACTGAAGCATTTGGGGGTAACTTAGCTACTCAGTGAAACCCTGCATCAGCATGAGAAAAAAAGGGGTTTGGAGAAGCAGCTCAGTGCAAAGGCCCTGGATTCAACCCCTAGTGTTGAACACAGCAAAAGTTACTAGTTTCTCAGAATGTATTAAATTGATCTCTAATCAAAAAGAGCTATAGAATATACATTTAAAAATATACAGTTGCTTTTTTTTTTTTTTTTTTTTTTTAAAGACTAGGTCTCACTGTTTAGTTCAGGCTGGCCTCAAAGTTGTCTGATCCTCCCACCTCAACCTCCCAAGTGCTAGGATTCCAGGTGTGTGCACCACGCCCAGCTGGGTTGTTTTTTTTTTTTTCTCCTCTTTTTTTTTTTTTTTGTCTTTTTCATTTTTATGGGTACCAAGGATCGAACTCACAACCGCCTGCTTGCAAGGCAGGTGCTTATGCCGCTGAGCTAAATCCCCAGCCCCTTTTTTTTTCCTCTTTATAGCCGTATTTTAATACTAAAAATGAGAATCTATAATTTTCTTGGTGAGTAATCACTAACCCCAAATTATTTTAAATAAATACATTTAATAAACTAACAAAAAAACCTTCTGGTGATTTTCAAACACGTGTGTAGGTAACAGTGCTTTTTAATCTTTAAAACTGCAGTTAAGAATTTTGTTATTAAAAGTCACATGTGACTTTTCACCTCACAATGCCCTTTTCCCTACAAATCCTTTGATAAGGTAGTCAATCTTTTTTTTTTTTTTTAAGCTAAAAAAATAGGGCCAGGGATTTAGCTCAGCAGCATAAGAGCCTGCCTGGTGAGTGCAAGGTCATGAGTTCCATCCCTGGGACAAAAAAAAAAAAAAAAAAAAAAAAGCAAAAAACCCTGACAACAACCACAACAACAACAAAAAACACCATAAAATGCTTTATAAACAAAAGAAAATTAAGAATAATTTTTCAGATTCTGGGTCTCAACACTTTTTGATACTCAGTGCAGTAGTCTTCACATTTGTTACCATGGATTTCAAAAGAATTATCTACATTTCTAAAAGCTATCTATATAGAAAGGCAAAAGAGAACATATCAAAGCTGGAGTCTTTCCATAGCACCATCTTTGGGGTTCAAGCAGCAGGAGCCATGATGGGAGTGGAGCGGTTCCAGGCCGGGTTCCAGGGTCTGGAGTTCACACTGAAGGACAAAACTTTGAATTGAGGCTGCAGCGCACCTCAGTGCTGGAGTCCTCACCTAGCACGCTGGAGGCTCTGGGTTACCCGGGGTTCCATCCCCAGTGTCCCAAAGCACGTGGCTCACAAGAAGGTTGCAAATCAGAGCCTTTCCAGCTTTAGAGGCCAGGGGCCCTATGGTACTTCCAAAGCATTTCCAAAGATGCTGAGAAATCTCATATAGCTTGAACCTCTTTAAGAACAAAATGGGTTGTTTGCATGGCTTTTAATAGAAAATATTTTGGAAAGAAGCAAGTTATCTTTCCTTACTTGAAGCCCAGTTTCCTTTCCAGGGGCTCCAAACTTCTCAGTTGTACCTCGTTTATTCTTCTCAGCAGGAATCAGAGCCAGTTTTGCAAGACTACGTCTTTCATAATTGAACTCCCAAAGCAGAGTTGCTCAGTGGCGAGCGGCCTACCTGTTCCCACTCCGTATCAAAATTCAGCCAAGATTCCTTGATATGAGGCCTACAATATTTCCTGAAATGCAGAGCCATTCCGGGTATTTATGGATTACTATTATATGCACTACAATATAACTTAATTACCTTGTAAAATAAGGAACATAAAGGCACTTTTTTCCTTTGTGATGTTTGGCTAAGCCTTGAAGGGAAAATGGCTGTTTTAGCTAAGCTATATTCCTATTTCTGATAATTAAAAAAAATGAAAATCATTGGCTAGGTGTGACGGTGCATGCTTGTAATCCCAGCACCCAAGACTGATGCCGGAGGATTATCAAGTGAGACTAGCCTGGGCTACATTGTGAGCTCACGGCCAGCATGAACTAAACCCTATCTTAACAAAACAAACAAAAAAGCATACAGATGTAAACAAGCAATAGTAAATTTCTTCTTTCAAAGCACACTGGAAAGTAAGCAGTACTGAAAAAAAATTGGTAATGATTGACATTCAGTGAACACTTCTATTGATACAGAAGCTGTTATCAAAATGCATAAAGAGACTGGGTATGTTGGCACATCCCTGTCATCCCAGCTACTTGGAAGGCTGAGGTGGGATCCCCAAATCCTAGTTCCCAGTGCCTGGGCAATTTAAAGAGAGCTGTCTCAAGAAAAAAAAAAAAAAACAACAAAGAGTCTAGTTCAATGCTCCCTGGGTTCAATCCCTAGTGCTACAAAAAGAAAAAAACTCTAAAGCTGCATCTAAAAACAAGCTGCATTTATTATTTTGTGATCAGGTCATGATTGTTTCGCACTCTTAGCAAGGATTTGGGTTTCCAACTCATCATCGATGGACCTTATACACAGGTGTGAGCTCTGTCCTGGGTAGCAGAGATGGATGGGCACACATCTCTGCACTTGACTAGATGTTCTGTTTAACGGATTATGCCTCTGGCAGGCACTGCACCCTCTCCCCATCACACTGCCAGCAGTATGGTCTCAACTGTAGTTAAAATTCCTTTTTTTCTTTTGGTACCAGGGATCAAACTCATGACCTTGTGCTTGCCAAACAGGCACTTACACCACCTAGCTAAATCCCAGGCTCAATTTTAAATTGAAAATGAGCATTTCCTACCAAAGAAAACATAAACTCTTTTATGTTATAAGGTTCTACACACCATATTGATTTAATACATTTGGGGTGAACAGTTCTGTTGTAAAACACCTTGAAATACCATCCCCAGAAGTAACAACTAGGCTCAATGGCAAAATAGGTGTTTTGGAGTCCCCCATGTTTGTTTCTTTATTGTATTTTTAAAAGCCAATAAAATTAAAATCTTCTACACACCCAAGTGGCCTAATGCGAGATGAACAAAATCTGAGAATGTCAGCTAAATCGACAAGTTAAATAAATTTTACTGCTTATACAAAAGATGAAATAACTTTTTAACTTTTAAGTTTCCATTTCCCAGCTACTTAAAGAGTAAACATTTGTCAGTTTTCAGAATTCCACTTAATTTATCTGGAAGAACTGACTCTTAGTTGTAACTGATGCTCAGTTGCTAAGACCTTAGTTTTTGCAAGCCATCAGGTTGCAATAATAGGTACTACAGTTTCTTCCCTAGTGTAAGCCTGTATGTGCCTTTTAGTTACATTCTGTAGCTTCTTATTTCCTCCTAAACGTTTTCTGTTGAAATGTGAAACTGTTATCAGTGTTATGTAACAATATTTTACATTTGCAACAGACATATCAGCTTATCTTTGCTTGAAAAACAATGTATCAAAAAGAAAACTACCTTGGGTTGTGTGGAGAAAGTGTAGACGTGGACAAAGACATTAAAATACATTCATGGGGCAGAAGAAAGTAAAGATGTCCTATTTGACAACCATCCCAGTGATTTATTAACAGCCACAGGCAGCCCACTGATGACATGACAAGGTCCTAGATTAGCCAGCCATAAGTTGGTAACCAGAGGAAACAGGGCTTTAAGGTTTTTTTTTAAAGAATATATTGTGATTAAAAAAAAAAAAAAGCAAACCAAAAAACCTGAACATACTAGAGCCACTAGTCTCCCTGGCAGCTCCGATCGAACCTAATGACTCAGGTGGATAATTAGAATAAACTCTGACGTTCCTTCACTAGGTCTACATGGTGGGGAAAACGGGCGTTATTGGTATAGCATTTTTCTTTTCCATTTTCAGATTCTACATTCAGCAACAGTTCTTAGTCCAGTTCTTCCTGTATCGCCTAAATGCGATCCTGGGTGCCCGTGGGCAATCGCTCCTCGCAAAGTGGCCAAAAAAAAAAAAAAAAAGACAGCAAAATGAAATGCCCTCTCCGTGGGGCAAGGCCGCGCTAAGTTACCCAAAGGTGGAAGCACCTCGTTTTTATTTACTTATTCTGGAGGCGGCGACGGTGGAGGCCGGGCTCGGATGCCCCTGGGGGGTGGCGGGGGTCGTCGCGGAGGCGGGAGACAGCGGCGTTCTCCTGGCGCGATCCCCCCCACCCCCCGACCTAGTCTCCTCCGCTGCCTCCCCTTTCTAGGCCCCGCCCCCACTGCCAGGGCCCCTTATCACCCGCCGCGGCCCCCGCCGCCGCCTTCCGCAGCCCGGCCCGCGGCCCACGAGCCTCGCCCGGCGGGGACCTACCCGACCCCTCCGGCCGCGCCCCTCCCCAGCGGGAACGCACCTGCGGGCCCGCCCCCAGCCAAACGCCGAGGCCGGGCAGCTCGGCCCTCTAGACCGTCACCTTCCCTTCTCCTGCCATTCCGCCCACCCCCCGCGCTCAGCCGACGGAGCCGCTGCCGCCGCCACCGCCGCGCTTCTCGGCCGCCTCAAAAATCTAAAGGGCTCAGTCTCCGGCACCACAACCAAATGGCTGAGCCTCCCAGGCCGGCTGCGCAGCCCGCCCATTGGACCCTTCCTCCCCACCCGCCGCCACCACCACTGGCTGTTGTGCGGACACTCTCGGCGACGATTGGTTGAAGCTGCTGCCGTTCTTCCGCCAGGCCGCAGATCCCGCCTCCACGGTGATCAGGTTAGTGTGCGCCGCGGGTGCTGGGGGCTCGAGAACCGAGCGGAGCTGGTTGAACCTTCAAAGTCCTAAAACGCGCGGCCGTGGGTTCGGGGTTTATTGATTGAATTCCGCCGGCGCGGGAGCCTCTGCAGAGAGAGAGCGCGAGAGATGGAAATGGACAAACGGATTCATTTAGAGCTGCGGAACAGGACGCCCTCTGATGTGAGCATTTGCCAAAAATATCTCTGTCGGTCCATTCTCCTACTTTGTGTGTGTATGCGTTGGGGGAGGGACTTTTTTTAGGGAGCGCCCGGGAGGTGTGGGCTTGGGGGTCGGACTGCAAATGAATTGCAAGGTTGTTGGGGGGGGGGATTGCAATGCCATCCGTGCGTGTTCCGGCAGCCGCCGCCGCCGCTGCCCTTGGTGTGTGACTACCTGTACGTGTGCTCCCGCGTGTGCGAGTGTGCACCCATCGGGGGCCGGCGGGCGCACGCGCCGGGGTCGGAGAAAGGGGCGCGATCGCCCTCGGCTCCCTGACTCCGCCTGGGGGGGAGGTGATGGGGGGATGGGGAGGAGAGGGGTTGCTTCCTAGATTCTACAACAAAAAGGGAGTGTATTTTATAAATGCGCCCCCTTCCGCGCCGCCCCCTCCCTCTCCCCTCTCCCGTTCGCACGCACACAATAAGTTTTGGGCTCCGCGAGTCCGGTTTAGTTTTGGTAAATGTGGGCTGAGGCCCCCTGGGGGTGTGTGGGGAGGGGGCCGCGCGGAGTTGGGGAGGCCGAGTTCCGAGTGCGCCTTCGTCTCTTTGCAGTGATGAGGCGAGAGACGGGGGAGCCATATTTGTAACTTTGTAGTGTTCGTGAACGCGCCCTTTCTCTCCCTCCCTCCCTCCCCTCTGCCTTCCTTCCTCTGCTCCTCTCTCTCCCTCACTCTTTCCACCCCACCTTGGAGCTCGATGCCAAGCTTTCTTGCTTTCCTTCCTCACGGAGGACCCAGGAGGAGGAGGTGGGAAGGGATTGGGGAGCGAGCAGAGGCTCTGAGGATCATCTCCCCCCGATCACCTCCCCCCTAGGCGGAGTCGGGGAACCCGCGATCGCGGTGCAAGTTGCCCAACGGCGACGTTACGGGGCCCTCTCCCCTAGCTCCCTCCCTGCTCATATGTCGACCCTGACCCCCCAACCACCTCACCCCAGCCCGGGCTGCTTTCCCTGGGGTGGGCTCCCCGGCAGCCATGCGGCGCCAGGCTAATAAATGGGCACGGAAACTTTGTCAGGACTCGAGCCGCCAGGAGCCCGCACCCGCGGTGGGCACCGACCGGGCCGAAGCTAAGGGGCGGACGCGCAGCCCGGGATGGGGTCTGTCTGTCTCCCGTCACCGTCACGCACTGAGTAGCGGCCAGAGGAAACTTACGCGGGTGGGGACGTGAGAGCCCACCGCCGCGGAGGGGCCGCAGACGGTGGTGACTTGAACGCTGCTTTTTATTTCTGGCTCCCTCTCGTTTCCCAACGCGCGTGTTTTCTGCGAGTTGGCGGCCCCTGGGTCTTTGGAGATGCCGGCCGAGTTCCCGTGGGTCCCTCGCGGGAACCAGGGACGGGCGGTCGGGAAGCACCCCTCAGCCTCGATGGCTGGAGTGGCCTGGAGTTTGGGGAGCAGCGCGCGCCGATCGTCGCCCTTCCAGCCTGGAAGCCCCGATTCTCCGGCCGAAGCAGGCCGGCTTCTTCCTCTTTCCCCTAGTTCCTCCTCCAGACCTGATCGAGACTTTCGAAAACAAGATCCTTTTTGTCGCCGTTCCCAACCCCCTTCCTAAGGCAGCTGTGCACTGTAGACGTGCGAGCGCCTCGTGGCTCTCGGGGCGCGGAGGGGGCGCCGTGGCGCCCGCTGGAGTTTCCGTGGACCCCGATAGCTGCGCCCCATTACGAGCAAGCGTTGGGGGCTGGGTGTGGTGCCGGGGGAGGGGCGCCCGCGATGTTCCCGCGTACTTTCCGGAAGCCCCCCGCGCCAAGGGGGAGGGGAAGCGCGCCCGGGAGGGGCCGGGGTCGCGCCCGACGAGTGTGCGGGCGCGTTTGCCCTGCGAACCCGAGCGACACTGCTGGCCAACCGGGAGCGAGATCGAAAGCGGGTCGAACCGGCTCTTTAAACTTCCCGAGTGTGCGCAAGGGGCGGGGCGCGCGCCGGGAGCGGGTTCTCACGCTGCGCCCCTAGCCCCGGGTCCTCGGCCCAGGCGCTGCCCCCGGCCTAGAGGCGGGGTGGGGCGCGAGGGCGGGGGCACTTTGGGTACTTTAGAGAGGAGCGTGGAGAAAGCTCGCGAAAGAGGGACAAAAGGGGTGGGGGAGGAGATTTTTTTTTTAAATAAACGTTCTTAAGGCTAATGACTTCTAGCGTGCGCCCCTCCCGCCGCGATCCCCTTCCGAGCCCCCACACACCCACCTTCGGAACCTTTCCCAAACTCGGATCCGGGGGCTGGTGGCCACGCCGCGACGCCGAACTAGGACGAGCAGCCATGTTTCCTGGGCTCCCGCGACCAAGCGCCCCTCCCCCATGGCGGGCGCGGGGCTCGGAGTGCGGGGCGCGGGCGGGCGGCCGGGCGGGCTGCTGAGGGCTTGGGGTGCGCGCGCGCCGCCGGCCTAGCTCCTGGAGCAGGGCGCGAGCTCCAGGTGTTTTATTTAAGGTTGGGGTTTTAATAACCAAACCCGCTGGGGGCCGAGCCCCAGGGCGCCAAGGCGTTATTGGGGGGCGGGGGCAGCTGTCTGGGCCCTGCGCGCCTGTGGCACGACTGCCGGGCGCTGGGCTGCCATCTTGTCACCGTGGCTGTTGTCGCTGGGGGGGGGGGGAGCGGAGTCTTGCGCTATCGCCCCGACGGCCTCTGGCGCGCAGGCTGCAGGAGAGCTGGCTCCAGGACACCCCCCCCCCCCCGCCAAAGCCCCTGATGCTCTGCGCCCTTTGGGGTTTCCACGCGCGACCTGCGGCCTTGTTGGAGTCGCGGCTCTGGGAGGGCCAAGATCCCTTCTGCCAGTCCCCCACCCCCACCGGGCTCCCTGTCTCCCCCGCTCCTCTGCGCTTGGATATTGCGCCGTTTCTCCTGCAGGCGGTCTAGACGTAGTTAAATGTGGCCTTGAGGACGAACCGATCGCCCTGGCGTTTACCTCTTTGGCGGAAGTGATAGAACGATGTGCTGAAATATAAAACAGGAGGTTTCTTTTGGCGGACGAGGGTTTGTTTGCGCGCGCGATCCTAGTGGCCCTGGCTGAAGCCAAGGACAGCAGCTGCTGCTTCCTTGGGAGAGATGAGTTTTCGGTGATGCGGGGAAACGCCCTCGCGGCTGGGCACTCCGGTACGACTTGGGTGGGTGCTGCGGCACCCTGCAGGCTGGGGGAGCCCCTCGATTTCTCCCTTCTTTTCTTTTCTCTCTCTCTCTCTCTCTCTCTCTCTCTCTCTCTCTCTCTCTCTCTCTCTCTCTTTTTTTTTTCTTTTGCTGAGGGGAAGGGAGACAGCTTCCTATAATAGTAAACGTGACTGAGCCCAAAGGGAATAAGGTTTGTTTTTGGAAACAAAGTAAACGGCATTCCTCAGGCATTTCTCTGGCTATTGACTTAACACCCGGAAGTGCATTCGCTGGTCTCTGGGACTTTGACAAAGCGATGGGAGGTTCTGGTTAAAGTATTCACCAGTTGAACCTTGCTGGCTGTATAGACTTAACTTTCATGGCAGTGTCCGGTAAAGGCTGTCCTAGAACTCAGCTTTGACCTTTGGAATACGTCGCATGATGTTTTCCAGACTGACTTACTGCCTCATTGGGTTCAAATAGGCCTGATGTGAACTCTAGTTTGTGCAAGCCAAACAGATCACAGACAGAAAATCGAGTGAGTTCTCCAAAATCATGATCAGCTGAGTTTTGTTAACTGGTTGCTGCTGATGATCGTACTTTTGATTCTGGAGACTACGTAGAGAAGCAGTGTTCTGGAACTACACAGACATGGGCTTGAGTCCCCACACCCCACACTCCCCAAGAGGTAGGATTCTGCTCCCACCTGACACCGGTGCAGGTTACTTCAACCTCCCTCTTTTAACACCCGGTTTCCACTAAAATGGGAACCATAATTCTGTTTAATCAGTAAGTGACAAAACTGGTTTCATTTGGCCCTCATTCGATGTTCCGTTTAACGTGGTGGTATTCCCAGGAAAATGTTGGGGTTCTGTCAGGCATGACTTTGGGCTTCATGGTTTAAGACAACAACAATAATAGCAAGTGCTTAGGTAGCCCCACGCTGTGTCTGGCACAATGCTAAGTGGATTACATGAATCAGTTAATTTATCCGACAGCACTATAAAGTAGGTGCTATTGTTATCCTTGTATTAGGCTTAAGGGAATCGAGGCAGAGAAGGGTCATCAGAGGGCGAAGAACCAGGATTCAAACTCAACAGCTAGCAAAGCACCCGTGCATATAGGGCACTGTGGGAAGAGCTTTTTCTTCACCGATTCTGGACTGGTGCCACTATCTGAAGAGACTGGGTTTCCTGCTATTGAAGGCACTGAATGAAGACTGGGTGGCCTCCTGCTTGAAGGTACTAGGTGTGTGGGAGGGGTCTGGACCACAGGCTCTGGACGGATGTCACAAAGGAAAACCAGGCATGAATCTGGTGTAGCATAGCCCATTTGTTTAGGCCGAAATGAATCTGACCTGGTAGGTGCTGGGGGGCACTTTCTGTATAATGAGAAGTCGGGCAGGGGCCACTTGCAGGCATATATGTGGTTAGGCAGCAATGCATTTTGTTTTTATCAGTCTTCACCTGCAGCCAAAAGACTGAACACAGTTGGCAGGTCCTCAGTATCTGGGACATAGCATACTAATAGCACCTTATGGATCATCTCGCTTAATCCTCCTAGCCACTCATTAAGGGTAAGCCCAACAGGGCAGTGGCATTCTGGATCAGCTAGGGTTTGGGGGAGGCCAAACTGGTAGGCAGTAGAGTTGTGTTCTCTCCCTGGAAAGCCGAGGCCCCTGGAGTGGACAAAAGGGACTTTGAAGAGCTTAGAATCCACAGGAACCCAAACAGCCTGGTGTTACCAGAATCCCCCCAGGAAGCATGTAAAAATAAAATACAACCTCTTGGGCTGTGCCCTGGCCCTGTCATCACAGAATCACCAAACTGCACTTGCCTGTTTTGGTATGGCCCACGAGCTAAGAATAATTTATACTGATAGATCTGTTTTATGGGGAAGATTTAAAACTTTGAATTCAGTTAAGCAAAGTATCATCCTCCCTCTCCCCACAAAATATACTTGTCTCATTAGCAGACCTGTATTAATAAAAAGAAAGAAAAATTGCCCTTAATGTAGTTTGAATTTTGTTAATAAAGGAACTGCAGAAATGTGTGTTTTATAACAAAATCGTCTGTGTGTAGCATCTCAATTTTGTCTCCTGGTAAAGTTTACTGCAGTCTGCTTCCTTGCAAAACAAGCTTGCTAAGCTTTGGATTAGTATGTTGGCCCAGAGAGTATAGAGTGCTGATGTTTTGGTTTTTAAGCATGTGGCTGGCCATACCTTTGGGTGGCGCATGGGAGAGCTGTCCAAGTGCTTTCTAACCAGCTGGAGCTCAATACAAAAATCTCCATAGGAAAAGCCATCCTTGTTACTGCCTTAATATGGAGGACTCTGCTATCTTAGAACTGCCAAGGTTTTGAGCTTTGAGCTGCTGTGTATCCACTAACTGGCATCAGGCTTAGGCACCGATCACTGGAAACCATTGCTCATCCTGGAATCTGCACCTTGGGCCTGCCGCTCTTCCATCATGCCTCTGTCCTGGGGAATGAGCCAGTGGTGAAATGGCTTTGGGTTCAAAGCCCTTGTTTTCATCTCCAACCTCTTAGGCATAAGCTCTTAAGAGCAGAAGGAATGGATAGATGATTGGCCAGGCTGAGGTGGAAGAGGAAGATACAAATGGAAAGGAACAAACCCCAATCTTGGTAACTGCAGCCTGTACTTCAAGGGCCACAAACCACAGATCTGGTTCTGTCTCTTGGCCACTCCTGCTCCACCAATCTCTCAAAAGGTACCTAACCAGCCATCCTTATTTCCAGTGCCAAGAGAGAGGCGCTTGATTGGGTTGTGGAGCTAGCATAGCAGCATAGCACCTGCCTGGCAAATGCAAGGTTGAGAGTTCAACTCCCAGTACAAAAAAAAAAAAGCAAAAACAAACAAAACACCTGACGGAGCTTTCAGGGCTTGACATCCCAGAGCAGCAGTGTCAGATCTTCAGTGCACTGAAGTAAACTCGGGGCTCCTGATGACCTGGTAGTAGAGATCACATAGAGTCCTCATGAGGTGTGCCACAGTGCCCTCTGCCTTGGGGTGTCACTTCATGAAAGAGAAGGCTGGCACTTGTTGCTGAGTGTCGGGACTCTCTGGCCTAATTGTAACCAAGTCAAAGAGGAAGTGTCTTGGCCTGTGTCTCCTTGCCTCTCCCAATCCTTGTCTCCCCACTCCTGCACCAGAGAAGTCTCTAGTGTGCTAGGACCTGCCACCCACAGCACCTTGCACCTCTGCCTGACTCAGACAGGTAGAGAAATGTAGCCTTGATGCTCAGCCTGCCATTACATGGCGGTATAATTATACAGCGAGTGGTAAATCCCCAGCAATGATGTTTTCATTAAAGACATGGAGTCTGGCAGCGGTGGAAATTGATAAATGCACCTGTTACTCAGAACTTAGAAAACTGGTTGAAACTGAGTTAGCAAAACACTTCTGGCCCTGAACCGCCTCCCAGTTAGGGAAGCAGCTTCTTTCCTGCTGGTTTTTGAATGCTAAGTCCTGATCAGGTATCTATTCTACATCTCAAGTCCAGCCCTGTGCCATACTCTGTGACCTCTTGGATTCCCTCAAATTAGTTTTGTTTTAGCTTCCAGGCTGCTCCTGTCCATGTTCCTCTGTTACTTCCTTTACCAAAATTTCTCTAGGCACCAGATCTGAAAGATCAGCTTACTCTACTATTTGCTCTGATGTAGATTAAAGTTCGAGCCTTTCCCAGAGGTGTTTAACATTTGCAGATTCTGGTTTGGTGAGGAAATTAGCAGCAAACTATAAAAGGGTAGATGATCTTCTCAGAGCTTTGCTCTTAACGAAGTTGGCAAGTTGCTTGGCCTCTGCTTTCTCCGCCCCTACACGGGGAGTCTTGAATTAGATCTGTGGCCCTCGAACTTGCTGATTGGAATTGCCTTAGATATGTTTCAGAGTCGCTCAGCATGAACATATATGTAGGTTTGGAATGACGATATGCTCCCTTAATATATAGAAAGACTGATTCATTTAAAAAGAAAATGTGCTGGCTCAGAGCCATGAATTGATTGCGATTCTTGTTAATGTTCAAAAGATGTTAAAAGGTGGATATTAAGGTTCCTTCGTCATCAGAGATTTTGTGGC